GTTGAGCAGTAGGAAGAGAGCGGCTTGAGGAGCTTTCAAGCGCCTTTCTCTGCTGCACTCACCCATTATTGGGATGATGGCTGCCATTTTGTGTTTCTTAGTTTCTAACAAGCGGTGTTTATATTGGTAAATGACTTAACAACTTCTTTGCAGCGGTTGAAGTTACTATCAAGAAAAGGTGATCCATTTCTTCAGCTGCAACCCATAGGTAGTTTAAGAGGAAGTGCTATTAGTATATGGCTAATATAAAAGACATGCGAAAGTTGATTTTAAAGTTAACAGGAGATTTTACGATTTTTGTTGATTCATTTTAGAAACAGTGGGTACAAAATTTGTTAGCTTTTCGTTAACAGGACTGCTTGCAATGTAACAGTGTTGTTATAATCCGCTACCAAACAGGCTTCGATAACCACATGCAGATTAAACAATAATGCGATCATAAGAATGATAAGATATAAGCAAAACTTAGAACCTCGAGTGCGTTTTGCACCAGCAATTACCTTTCAGGGGGCTCACATAATTGTCATTTCGATTGCATCTTCAGCTTAACTGCGTTCGAAGCTGATATATTCTTTCTAGATCATTCACGTTGACTGACGACTACCGATAACACCGATAGGGTAAAAGAAAATTGGCTGATAGAAGGGGAAAGCGAGGGCCTCCCTTGGTGCAATCAGCTTCTCAGGTAGGGGTAACCGCGAGTACGAAGCGCACTTGAGGTTCCATGTTTTGTTCATGTCTTAGCATCCTTATTAGTTGTATTCTCCATAATAGCTCTGAAAAGAGAATGGAAAGTGAATAAAGGTTGAAACATTGTACTACACGTACATCATTTTCGAGGAGTTATTGCACCTCTTATGAATAACTATTTAGTTGCGCCTTGTGTTGCAGCTGTATGCCATTCGTATGCAATATCACTTATCCTGCAGTAGGGCTTGAGTTATTGACTATGTCGACTTCAACAAGCATATGTGAAATTTTTAAAGAGAGAATCAGAGAATGTGTCGCCTGCATTGCAATTCTGAATTTCAAGGCATTGTACAGCTATTTGTCCACACCCAAGTAGGTAAAGAACCAGTGTCGCAGAGCCGTTTGTCATTCAGAACTAAAATTGTGTTAACAACCCTGAATCAGTCCACCAGGAACAATTCGGAAGACGAAAATAATTTGCTGATCAACGTCAAGTTTAAACGGAAGTCGGTTTTTGAAAACAAATAAATTTCGTTCTTTTTTTCTATTTCACTACATTTTCGTTCTCATATACTTAATAATGACGAAAATTCTTTAAGAAACTTTATTAACGAGAGTCTCAAGGAGATCTATCTACAGTCGCGACAATAAATAGTTCGGTCCTCGCGAATCAACCCGATTTATAGAAACTGTGGACGTTGAGTAGTTGTTACACGATGAATAGCCGTCAGAAATTATATGATTAAATATTGTAAGCATGTCAATTAATACAAGTTCAATTGATGAGAGACATAGTAATAATATTCAAGAGGAGCATAAAATAGGACAAATACGATGAACAGCTATAAATATGTCTGTATTGGAAATGATGCCACATGGAGTTACTGTCACGCCCACTCGAGTGGGGATCGCTGTCCAACATACCCAACGTGGGGTTCACAAGTCGGTGAAACCACTCCATGGGTCGAATCCTGTTGATGTGCACGTTGGAGGTGACAGTGGAAGTAGATGAAACATACTCGACCAAACGACCGGCAGTACAAAGAAGCAAACTGACCTGCAAGCTCAGAATTACTAAAGCCATAAGCATATGTTCTACGAAATTTTCTAGCCCATTAACAGCACTGGATAGGTAATAAGTCAACAACCAAAACAATCCCCTTCCTTGTCCTCCTCAATTTCCGCTCTCTCTCCCTGCTATTTGCATATCTGCACATAGCTCACATCCATGATCGTTGGGAAAACTGATTGAGAAGCAATAGAATGCACCACATTATTGTTAGACAATTAATGTTCACAGTACTTAACTAACTTATTGCACTCAAGAATAAATTTCACATAGAGAAGCACGATTTCTTTTCTTTCGCTCTTTTACACCTACTGTAGAAGGATTACTTGCAAACATATAAGGAGAGCGTGCATTGCAGTAGTTAGAGGTGACCTGCAATAGTAGCCGTAGGTTCGATCATGCCTTCTAGGTTAACTAACGTCATTCCGCAACTCTCTCACATCAGCAAATTGTTGAGAGACCTGTTTGGGAGAATAAAAACACTGACATTATATATCGTTAGACCACCGCAAGCCACTGTAGCAAATATGCATTCAACCACTTTGACGATCCTTAACACTTAGTGATCGAGGTGAGTTGATTTGCACTCACACAGTGCGAAAAGAAGACCACTTTCAACTTCGAGTCAAAATATCTCAGCTCAGTGTGAACTTTATTAGTTGAAATAAAAGATATTCGAGTTAAAAGTCTTTGAATCTAAAACTTATCGTGAGCCTGAATGTGTTTTGTGCACGTTTTTTTGGCGGGGATCATATTTCGAAAACGAAAGCAATTGGACCAACGGCTTTTTGTCCATTAGAAGACGATGAGGTCCCCAAATGCTTTAATAGCGTTTGTAGATGCCGAAAATTAATTTGGAATTTCAAAGATTAAAATTGTTTTCTCGGGAAACGTTTGTGCACCTTCGCTTTCCTTATTGACTCGAGTCGATTGCCTGCATTTCTTCCACCTTTCGATTAGGGTATTTGTGATCACATCGAGTAGAATTCAGTGGGATACCGCTCAAATTAGGTAAAACATTCGGCAGAAACCTGTGCTAGCGGATAATGACACCGACTGCTACAAAATGGATTACAAAACAAAACGTAAAACATTGTGATTTCAACTACAGCCTCAGCTTAACTGGGCTCTATGCCGATTTGGGCTCCCCAGATCAACCCCGCTGACGGGTGATTGCTGTTGCAAAAAGATTGATAGAAATAGCTGAGAGACAGGCGAAACGAAGGACTCGCATGGTGTGGTGGTGAATGCGTTACTCCCCGGAAAGGACAATAACGAGTTCGTTCCCTACCATAGACACCTGCGGTCGAGAGTTTTGCAAATATCTCAGCAACGTTGTGGTTGTATTTCGCTTAGTAACCTGCCATAAAAATCATAGAAGGCAGAAAACAAAACGTTAAACAAAATGGATTGTTCAAAAAAAGGTAAAACATTTGGCAGGAATTATCAACAAACAATCATTATCAACAACCGTTGTCCTGTATAGAAGAGCACTGCCGAGTGACGTTTGTCATTCGACTTGATGCGACCACGAATGCCTTCGTCAGAGAGAGGAAGAACTGTGAATAATCGACTCAGATCAACCCGACTCTGGAGAAAGAGCAGAAACGTTAGCCAAGTAAAGCTTCTTATCGACATTGTGCTAGGTTATCAATGAAATAGTTCTGATTAATCTTATCAAAGGTAAAGGGAATCGGCTTTCGAAATATCTCATAGCAGTGTCAGATTGAACATACGGTTTACCATAGTTAAGAACAACTATGAATTGTGAGGAGATTTTAAAGCCCGGTACGTGTTCCATTAAGCCCCATAACTCTAATTTAAGAAACATTTTTAAGAAGGCGTTTTGATGTTCTTTAAAAGAATTTCGTGGGTTTCTGGCTCTACCGTACCACTTATGTCAAATGGAGTTCTCCCTGTGTAGTCGTAATGATGTCTGAACAAATATTTTCCAGGGACTTAATTATAGGATTACAATGTAGTAAAACTGTCACAGATTACACAATCTCTTTAAACGCAAGAATACCTAAATAAGTATGCATTAAGATTATATACGCAAAGAAACTTTTGTTTTATCCACGAAAACAGAAACAGGGTGGCCATTCATTGAACCAATTTGCGTCTAAGAGGACAAAAAGAAAAAGGATAAAGCGTTCAACGTTGATCTTCCCTCATGGATGCGCCATGCATTCGACTTCATCAGGCATCGTTGACAGTGATCGAATGCAAGTCTGGCCTATACAATGATCCACGGTCGCCTACCGATATACGATATCAATGCTGCCAACCTTTTCGGTGCATGCCAGGGACCAACTTGCCGATCCCGGAAGGATGGAAAGCTTGGTAAGCCCAGGGGAGGGGATCGAACCAGGAACTACGTGTGTATCATAGGGCGCCTCTAATCGCTGCACTACATGAGCCGTAAAGGAAATTTTATATATCAATGCTTTTCATCGGTATCTAACTACCGCTGGTAACTGACAAGAGCTCCCTTAGATTAAGGAAATCAGTTGAGAATTTTTGCACAATTAACCCTTTCCTAAGAAGTGTTAAACCAAAGGAAACAATAGGCGATATTATCATGTAGAAAAAAGATTCCTGCTCTCCTTCGAAGATTCTGAGCACATTTTTTGGTAAATAGAATGGTTGACTAGTGATTCTATTCGAATTCTTATTCGATCTGTGTGAGTGAATTACTCAAAATATAGTACGGCCTTTTCAAGCATGAATTATACATTATGATATATTCATTTATGAACCAGAATCAGAAAGGGTTATAAGAACTTAGGATCGGGTTTTATTTTAAAACGAGTTGTAACGCATTTGTAAACGATATGGCTGTTAAAAACCTTTCGTTTTCCAAGATTCCTTCATGGAACGTTACAAAAATGCTCGTCTAAAAGAAACTCATTCTACCTTTTGAAAAACATCACTTAACGCAGCTTCCCACTATAATGAGAAGCTTTGTTGGAAAATTCAAGGAAGGCTACGAATAACTCAGAAAGAAATTTTGTACTGCTCATTTGCCTGCTTCTTAAGGTACCAAAATTGCGGATTATATCAATCATTGTAGACAAACATCGACAATTTCACAACAGCCATTGGAGAATGTTCTCATTCTAATCATTCTAAAGAAAATGAGTTTCTTATGCGTTTTATTGTGAATGATAAGGTTACACAACTGACTTTACCACATTCGATATATCAAAATTCTCGGTAGACGTCGACTGATGAAGAACATAATTGGAAGCCTAGTGCTTAGATCGCACCTGTATCGAACTATATCGAACTAGTACACTTTCTGAAGAATAAATTATTCATCTAAACATAAAGCCTTCTTGAATTACTAAGCAAACACGAGTATGCTACAAAGTTTTATTTGGCTAGCATTTCGACTTCAACCTCTTCCTCAGAGCCGGATTGACCAAAGTAGATTGTCCACAGCCGTTCGTCCTTGCAATATGGAGCCTTCGCTGTAGCATCAACTCGAGACCGTTGAATGGTGAACCACTCGAACGAAGAACCTCGAATGAAAAAGAAAATCGAGCGGAGCTCGACTGCAACAGATTCGACTCGATGCTACAACGAAGATCCCACATCGCGAAGATGAACGATTCTGGACAATCGACTTCAATCAATCAGACCCTGAGGAAGACAACGAAATATGAGCCGAATAAAGCTTTATACCAGTCTTGTGTTAGCTTAACAATCCAAGAAAGTATTGATTAGTTGAACCAAAGTCAAATAAGGGTACACTTTTAGAAAAGTTGATAAATTTTAAAAAATATTTTTTCGCACATAAGCTGTTAATATTACGATATAGGTACTTCATAAAACTACTTCGAAATATCTTATGCCTAGACTGCTTTCAATTTTCCACCGAGTATATCAATATTCGCTTTTTTGGTTTAATATTTCACTCTAGAACCAGAAACGCTGTCAAAACCTTATAAGCAAAAAACCAAGCATTAGGACTGCTCCAAAAAACGCTGTATATTTAAATAGTAATACATTATGAATCCAGTAGCTGTAGATGCCATTCTAGCGGCCTTTTCCTGTTCCTCAAATACCATCTGGAGACGTCGTCGATTCTTAGCGCTACTGTTTGATGACATGAATCCAGCTGAAAATTGTGTTCATTTTATTGCTGTTTACGTCTAGCATAGCAAATATGTCAATATTCACCATTCGACTGGCACATACAAAAAAGAAAACTTTTTATTCCGTTAAACTACTACTTAGAACTATGTAGTTGAGAATAACAACAGCTTTGTTAGTTAGCGGAAGAAAAGCTGCGCAAAAAACTGATTATTTCAAGACAAAGACCACGAAAAATCTATACATATTCGACCAGGTCAGGATGATAGAACTGTAGACAAGGTAGCCAGCAGTCGTCACATAGAGTAATGGTCGTGATTCAATCTAGGTCGAACGTACGAAACGTGTGACGATGACGGTTCGTGCCCTCATGCGGAGGAAATGTGCGGCCGGCTGCGATACGCTGTGTCACCGCTCGGCGGAGGAACACCACTACTGGCGTGGACTAGTCTACGGTACCGTCTCCGCCGATGGATGGATGGATGCCTGGATGACTGCAACATCGTCAGGACCATTGTGTCCAATGTGACAGCTCAGCTCATATTGACGGTGATGGATGGATGTCCTTCAGAATCCACATCGGTAAACGTATAGAGTACGACTTATCAGTGAATTTATTGTTGCAGAGCATTATTGATTCATTGAGTCTTATCTACTGGAAGACTTCAAATGTCTGAAAATATTGGAGGACTAAAAATTCTGTATGTTGTTAATGTTTCTTTACAAATACACATTCGTTCTTCATGTGCGTTTTATTTTAAGATTGGAAACTATTCTGTTGTGCTAAATCTTTGGCAGAGTTCTATTATTCGACAAACGGCAATACATCTATAAAGGAGACGAAAAACATTTACAACGTAAGCACAGACGTACATGTGAACGGCTTTTTAATCGTATTGTATTAAATATTCCCTAAAATTACAACTACCATCTACACTTGAATCATGAAGAACTTAAGTATTCAACTATTTAATGGCTTTTGTTTGACTCCCAATATTTTTGTGCATATAGAAAATATACGACTCCTTACCATGCAAATTTAAGAGAGAAACCTGCCAGCTAGATAAACCTCTACAGTAGTCGAATTCTGGGAATACATTTATTTTC